CGCATAGATCCAAACAGGTGCCTCTGAAAACAATGAGCTGCGACTTGTCAGGTAACATTGTTTCCCAAGTAGCATGACAAGTCCACAAGTGTCAATGGAACCTTATTGTTTAGATTTGAACAGAGTAGGAAATGGTTAAACCCCAGTCAGGTTTTTTTTCCCTCCATCTTCAAGCACTTTTGTTATATTTTATATGCTTAATTCATTTTAATTGTCTTTTATTTTTTAAGCATACCTACAGTTCACAGTCTTTCTAGGAAAGATAAATACGGATTAAAATATGTACCGTTCCTGGATACAATGAATCTAGGCTCCCAGCAGTGCTAGCCACGTCTACACAGATTTTTGTAATTGTTCATGAAGGTGCATAGCCAGAGAGCAGACTGACTGATCCTCCCCTTCACCAGAGAAAATGTAACCCGTTGGGCATAAAATTAGCACTAGATAGAGCCTGAAACAACATTTTCTCCAGGAAAAGTTAGCTGTTCACCTCTTATTTTTTTCACTAGTTTTTCCATTCCAAGTCCCAGGTACATTTATAAAATAATATTCTACTGACATGCGATTGAATTGGTTGACATTGCTTTGAACAAAACATATAATTACATGTCTATATCTTGCAGGGCTTTACTGGAAAACAAGGGCCTGAAGGACAGCAGGGGCCTGTGGGCATGTATGTAAGTATGTAATGTGCATATTTTAAAAGTACACATTTAGTGGAATAGAGTACAGTGCTTTGAAAAGGTATTTATACCCCTTTTAATTTTCCACATTTTGTCATGCTACAATCAAAAACATAAATGTATTTTATTGGGATTTTATGTGGTAGCCCAACACAAAGTGGCACATAATTGTGAAGTGGAAGGAAAATGATTAATGGTTTTCAAAATTATTTACAAATAAATATCTGAAAAGTGTGGTGTGCATTTGTATTCAGCCTCCCTGAGTCAATACTTTGTAGAACCACCTTTCTCTGCAATTACAGCGTTGTCTTTTTGGGGATGTCTCTACCAGCTTTGCACATCTAGAGAGTGACATTTCTACCCATTCTTCTTTGCAAAATAGCTCAAATTCTGTCAGATTGGATGAAGATCATCTGTGAACAGCAATTTTCAAGTCTTGCCACAGATTCTCAATTGGATTTAGGTCTTGACTTTGACTGAGCCATTCTAACACATGAATATGCTTTGATCTAAACCATTCCATTGTAGCTCTGGCTGTATGTTTAGGTTCGTTGTCCTGCTGGAAGGTGAACCTCCACCCCAGTCTCAAGTCTTTTGCAGAATCTATCAGGTTTCCTTCTAAGATTTCCCTGTATTTGGCTCCATCCATCTTCACATCAACTCTGACTTTCTTAAAAAGGTGTCGCAAGGACAGCAAACGAGGGTCAGTGTATGCAATGGTGTCATTGAAAGAAATAATTATAAGATGACAGAAATTGCAACTCTTCCCTCACTTTATTTAAAATTAAAAAAATTAACCTGAATTATTAGAAAATTAGGCTTTAAGCCATAAATTATTTTCAGTTGTACTTTTGGTGGTTGGTAATTGTCTCCATCTGGTATAAAGCTGTTTTTTTCAATATCATACTAAACTGTTACATTTTCTAAATACATTAAAATGGTGGAAATCTTGTTGGGGAAACTGTGTGGTATTTTGATTTTGAGGTAAGAAAATAAAACATTAATATCCTTTATCCCTAGGGTTTGCCAGGTTCATCAGGTCAAAGAGGCCGGACAGGACATCCTGGGGAGAAGGTACAGTATATGGAAGATCCAGATATTTAAAAATATATTTCTCTGTGTTTTTTATGTTCAGAACTAGAAAAAAGAATTGTGTATTTCTTTTTATTTAACCCTTAAAGCCAGAAGGTGACAAGCACTAAGTAGCTTCTGTAGCATTCTGCAGGCCGATTTAGAGCTGATGTTGTCATATAGACCCAAATAACAGGAAGATCACTTTACAAAGATAGCAGATTGGGTCACAAAAGAGAGATATAACCTCACCCTCTCTCCTGGCAAAAGACAGGACCATATTTGCAAAATAAAAGTTTAATATTTTTAATTGAATCAATGATATAAAACAATTTGCATATAGACTCTCAAAAATGTGCAATACAATTGACCAAATGCCATCATTCTTTGAATGTCAAGGATTCCAAAGCTACAAATGGGACCCTGCCAGGTATAATTCAAGAGTAAAAATTAAAGTTTACCAGAGAATAATAAATGGTTAAAGTGTTTAGTAAGCAGAAACCATGCAATTTAGATAGGAGGAGCCACTCACCCATTGAAATCTGCAGTTCAGCTGTCAGTCAAGGTACAGCTGATAAATCCTGGTATACACCAGTACTTGCCCTAGGATTTGGAGTTTAAAAACCAGTACTATACCAGTTAAAATGGTACAATTGGAAGGTCTACATGTCTACAGTGTTCACATACTGTATCTGTACTGCAGGATGTTGCCCACGTGCTCTATTCCTAAACGTATAGATTACTGTAAGGGTATGAAAATCTTGCTGCATCTGACTTTCTTTTTACATTAACAGGGAGAGATTGGACCACCCGGAATTCCAGGGCCACCAGGCAAAGCTGGTCCAAAGGTAAATTATTACTTTACACTTTGAACGCAATACAAAACACAGACCAGAAATAGGACAAATTAAATAGTGACATATCATATCATTGAAAGGTCATGTTTCACCACAATGTGATATATTAGTTATAGGTGGAGCCTGATAGGGAAAGACAGACAATCACATATCAAAGAGAACCATTCAGAGGTGTAAGAGCATTAGCAAAGAGAAAAAAATGCGCCACTCACCAACCAAGTGCTGTGCAGTGTTTTGCCCCACACACCAGGGCTTGGTCACAGAGGTGACACCTCAAAACATGTCTTGAGCGGCCAGGGCTGTGGATAAGGGTGTAACACCAGTCCTCCTGTACGGGGCCCAGGCCAGCAGGGGGGCCCAGGCAGCTGGGTGAATCAGATGTGGGCAGGGAGGGTGATCATCATTGGGGGGGATGGGAATTACTGGAACCTGTCCCCTGTATGGCTCTCTCTGCAGCAGCTGAAAGCTGGCTTCTTCTCCTCTCTGTACACTTTCAGCTGCTGCAGAGAGAGCCATTCAGGGGATCCAGTAATTGAGCCCCCAAGCCCGCCACACCCATCACCCTCTCTGTGCGCCATACGTTTTCCCCTGCTGTCCAGGCCTCCCTATATGCCCCCACCCCCACAGTGCTGCCGGATTCCCTCCTCTCTTTCCCACTGGCAGATGCATGCACACAATAGGATTCTTCAGGATGGAGAGTGGGGGAGGGGTCTGGTAAATATGTCACATTTATCAGCCCCTTCTTTTCCTTAATGAACACAATGAGTGATCAGTACTGAACAATCATTGTGTTCATTCATAACTGAGGCATAGTAAACTATGTTTTTTGTTTTTTTTTGGGGGGGGCCTTTTAGGTTGGCTGTATGGGGCCCTGTGGTTTCTAACAGCAGCCCTGTGAGCGGCGCTGGCTGAGGCCACATTCATCTACATGCTAATGCACAGGGATGGTGAGCGGCGCCTTTTCTTCTCTTTGATAATGCTCTTACACTTCTGAATGGTGCACTGACGCCATCTCCCTTCCACTGCAACCGGTGGGGAGATGTGTGTCTCTGCTTAGAGCAGCACTATCAGTTTTATTTGAGCCAATCATATATGTTTCCTATACTTCAAGTGGGAGTGTTCATTGCAATAATCCACAACAATTCCTGTCCTCCTAGAGTTTTGGGTGTCCCCATTTATCTTTGTGCATTTCAGGTCATCCTCTTACATTCTGTGTAATATAAATAGGAATAATTTTGGGAGTTAAAAAACCGCACATATATGAAAGTCTGTGTATAGATGTAATTTCGCTGAATATGAGTTTGTTGGGAAAGTTTGTGTCATTGAGGGGCTTAGGTTGGGTGTGTTTTTTTGGGGGGGAGTTATATTTAAGGTTGTGTTTTTGTTTATTGTATTTAGTGTTTATTGTATTAGCTTTTTTTCCCCTTTTTTATATTTGTATGCTGTCTGTTTACATTTGTTTTATTTTACCTTTCTGCTCACTCATTTTTTTTTTCATTGTGTAAAAAAAGTAAAATGATGAGGCTAAAGAGGGGCTATTTTGTCACAGGAAAAGATACAAAAACTTTAAAAGAAGCTTCAGTATGGCTCAGGAGTCATCTAAATCTCAGTGAATCCCTAAAAACAACAAATATCACCTTCATTTCCGCTTCCTCAGTGATACCAATGAATTTTGCAAAAAAAGGTGAAGTTTTGCCACTGAAATTTTGCTAAAATTTTTAAGTAATTAAAAACTTTTACTTTCCCTCATCCCTAATCCTCAGCTTTAATAGCTTCCAAAAAAATAAACTCAGCATTGCCAGCATTAAATGGTGCGTTCCCAGAGCTTACCATCCAGATGGGTTCATTTTTACTTTAAAGTAGTTCTAAAGGCAGAAGGTTTTTTTTTTACCATAATGCATTAAGGTAGAAAACCTTCTGTATGCAGCCCCCCCCCCCCCCCCCCCCCCCCCCCCCCCCATGATGTGCACAAGAGCAGAGGGTCTCCTGGCTCTCTCCCTCCTTGCTGGCTCCAACACAGCAGTGGGAGCCCTTGTCTCTTGCTGATGTCAGTTACAGCCAGCGAGGATGGAGCAGGAGTCTAGCCAACTCCGGACACACAGAGCTGACGCAGGAGCAAGCCCACACAAGGGCCCCCATATCAAGCAGTTTTCTATGGGGGCACTCGGCAGGGGAGAGGAGCCAGGTGCACCAGTGGGGGACTCGAGAAAAGGAAGATTGAAGCTGCTGTGTGCAAAACCATTTAACAGACAGGTAAGTATAACATGTTTGTTATTTTTAACAATTAAAATTCCTTTAAAGTAAATTCAGTCTGTATATGCAGTAAAGCATGCTTGTTATACTCACTGTAGAACCTAAGGGGTTAATCCTCTGCATTGTGTAAAAATGCTGTTTGATCCTGACTTCTATGATCCTCCCCTCTTCCAGTGTCCCCATCTTATCTCCTGATAAGACATATCGTGTGGATTCACTCTGTACATGCTCAATTTGGTGTGTATTGCTAGAGAGGTTTTTTTTTTTCTTGAGAGAGTGCATGTGATCAGCACAGGGCCAATCAGCACTGTCCAGACAGAGTTCAGGGGTTCTGCATCCTCCTAGAGTAAAATGAAAACTCCTTCTACAAGCTTTAACATGTGCTAGACTGAACACTGATAGAAGTCACAAGACTGCTCTAACTGCTGATGAAAAAATGTGTTTAGCAATTTATATTTACTAACATAATTGCATTTCCATGTTGTGTGTACTGTGGGAGACCAGATATAGTGAATGCAGGGTCCTGGGTTTAGTACCACTTTAAGGACCCATTCACAGTAGTGCATTGTGGTGTGACACAGTAATGTGTGCTGCGCTTGCATTCCTTTGAAATGGCACCCCAGTGCACCAAGGCTGCAAAGCACATCACAATCACTTTGTAGTGCACCACATGAATCATCTGTTTATTGTAGGGGCTGCATTAAAAAAAAATAGTGCATGTCTGAATATCAGTAGATTGCAGTATGTTGGCAGCTAAATCAAAATGAATAGGCTGCCTTAATGCCAGCCATGACCACACGCAAATAGTGCATAAATGTAGTGGGTGTGATAGTGTTCTTGTATTTGTATAGGTGTTTTATCTATGATTAAATAATGTTTTTTTCTCATGCAGGGGCCTCCAGGTCCTCCCGGGGAAAGGGGACCCACTGGGCCACAGGTATTAATCTTCTTCATCTTTCAAAAATGTCACTTTTGAGTTTATTACATCCTGGGCTAGGTCATAATGGGCCTGCTTAATCTATTTAATTTTTTTGTTGTCTATTTAATAAGTTCATTAACGTTTGAAGATTGTATATGTTAGCAATTAAATGCTGAGTTTTAGCGATAGTATTGGAAGGATGCTAGGAAGCAAATGCCCCATGAGCCACCATTCTTAACAATCCCTCTTTTAGACATTTTTCCATTTGAAATTGCTATACTTTACAAAAATGTTCCATATTCTAATTTAAACATACTTAAAGGCTCCAGTACAATTTGTTAAATCTTTGAGTTATAGGGTCAAGTGCAGCTTAACATGCAGATTGGTGGCACAGTGTAATGCATTCTGCAGTGCTGCACATACTCAGGGAAATATTTAGAGATTATGCTTCCCTAGACAGGGCCATCTTTAATATTGATTGGACCTTGGGCAAACATTTTCTTCTCCCTCCCTTGCAATTTCGCTCTCACATTACACAGGACCCCTTCCCCATACTACTCCCCCTCATTACACAGAACCCCCTCCCCCATACTACCCCCATCATTACACAGGACCCCCATACCACCTCATCATTACACAGGACCCATCCCCCATACTACCCCAATCATTACACAGGACCCCCCCCCCCATACTACCCACAATATTACACAGGACCCCCCATACTACACCCATCATTACACAGGACCCCCTCCCCATACTCCCCCCATCATTACAGAGGATCTCCTCCCCCCATACTACACCCCATTATTACACAGGACCCCCCTTCCATCATTACACAGGACCCCCTCCCCCATGCTACCCTCATCATTACACAGAGCTCCCTCCCTTCACAGACCCCTGATTTGCCCTCCCCAGTGGTCTCACCTTGATAGTGTCCAGAGGGTGTCAAGCGAACACCAGGCACACCCCACCAAACCCTCCAGCGAAGAAGTTCTTCAGTTGGCCAGTGGTTTTCAACTTGTCAGAAATGGTAAGGGAGAGATGTGAGTGCAACTGTGCTCGGGACTGACAGGTGCTCTCCCCAGGCAAGGTCTACCTTACTGAGCTGGCCAGTCACCGCACAGGCTGCAGACATAACACCAAACCAATCACCACCATCCCCAACATTAAATTCTGCCCTCATCTCCTGAGTGATAGCCAAATCCACTTATCAACTATTTGCGGGTAGTATGGGCTCAAGGGGTAGCTCAGCTGCTTTGGGCCCCACAACAATGGCTGGGCCCAGGGCAGCTGCCCCTTTTGCCCAGCATTAAAGAGAGCCCTGTCCTTAGGCACATATGGTTAACAGTCTGTGTTCGCTTTACTGCTTTATTCAGAATTACTGATATTTACTGTGAAAATTAAATACATTATTGACAATTACTGTGAAAATTAAATACAGAATGGTCTACTGGAGTCTGCAATCCATTTCAAATCTAAATTCACCTTTGTACCCTACAATCCACCAAAAGATGGCAGATAAAGAGGGGAATGCTGCATGCTAAGTGACCTGTAAAGGGTCTTGTGACTCTTTTGACAGCCCATGATTCTCAACCTCCCTAAAGTCTTGTAGCTCAATTTACCTACAAACATCCAAACATGGCCATGCAAAAAAAAAAGTACATTCATAAAAGGAAACTGGAAGGAGCTTTATTGATGCCACTGGTAACTTCACCCATTATTTCTGCATCTCCAGGGTCGTATGGGTGAGATGGGTGACAAAGGCTTGCTTGGAGTATCGGTAAGTGGTTTGGCATTTCTTAGGGTCAGCTTGGCTCTCACAGGAAAAATAGGAAGTGCATTTAAGACATTTGCTACCAATTTTATAGGTTAACATTCAAATAACATATATATTTATCTCCTTTAGGGCCCACCTGGTAATCCAGGATGTGATGGAGAACTGGGAAAAACTGGGGCCATAGGAGAACCAGGCCCACCAGGAGCCCAAGGAGAAATTGGTCCTTTAGGTTACCCAGTAAGTTTGATTTCAGCTCCCAAAAATAAATTGTACAATATTTGACTAATAGAATTAGATTACTACAGTAGAGTAAGCACCATAGGTCACAACATTCAAAAAAAAAATATTAAACAGGCTTATGGAGGAGTATTATGTTCAATGAGTCACTAAAAAACTGTTCAGTAAAACCTCTTTACTAAATTAGGATATCAATATAATTTTGCAAATCCACAATGAACTCAGGAGCCCAAGTGATAAACTGGCTGGCCCCAGCATTGTCACATGTGGGATTTGGTGCGTACCTTAAAGTGTAAGAATACCATCAATACTGGATATTGTCAGTAATTTCCAACAATTTTGGAGACGGTAGGGATCAGAGCAGTAGGTACAAGATGGGAGGGTAAGTTTTAGTTTGAATGACATGTTTGATTTAAGAGGATATAGATCTATTAATTCTCTGTTGTCAATTTTATTATTATTCAGGGTCGTGAAGGGCCACCAGGACTAGAAGGATCCCCTGGAGAGAAAGATGAGAAGGTAAGTATGTACAGAAAAAAAGCAAATCTTTGAGTCATATTTAACAGTTTGTCTGAAATAAAAGCTGTGCTGCCAATAACAGTCTGTGATGCTCCAAATTTTATTTTTTCAGTGTAGCTTGGTAAATAACAGGCTGAACTAGTTCCGATTTCATAAATTTTTACTGTATTTTCTCTAGCACGGTAGTGTCTTCAAACCAAAAACAAAAATGTAATATATTGCAGCGTACCAGTCCTTAGATCTGGTGGTTGCATTAGTTTTCTTTGTCTGGCCCTGGGTGGCTATGTTTACTGCTCCACTGTATCTATGGAGACAGCTACCCAGGCTGGACTACTTATATAGTTAACAAAAAAATATTTGCTCCTATAGCCATTAGTTATTAATATCCATTACTTATGTCCACCAAATCCCAGTATTTTGACCTTCACAAAAGAGCATTGTGTGGTGCAAACCTTCAGTGCAATTATCACAAACACAAAAGCATGGGAGTATACATACTCAACAACTGGTTAAATGGGAGAAACTATCCCTTTTATAAGTATATATTTTTTGTGATTGCTAATAAAAGTAATGTGAATTGATTGCCAGTTATATACAAATGAGTGCATTATAACATTGTTTCCTCGCTGCTTTTGTGTCTACCTTTGTTCATCAACATTTGTTATCATTAGTGCAGCTGCCAGGAAGTGATAAGAACACTGCATTTCTGACAAGATCAACAGATATTTTCTGTATTTGCTGAAAATGTTTTGAAAAAAGAAAACAAATGAAGCCTCTACCTCTAAGGACTTGCAGAATGTTACAGGTTACATTTTTGTTCCTGAGTGTAGTTCTTTTTTTTTTTAGCAGATAGCAAGGGATCTTGAAGATTAAAACATTGGCTGCAAATTGAAAAAGAATGGACAGTCATGTGTTCTGTTGGTTTTTAATACATATGACATGGATTCATGTTAAGATTTCAGCTTAGTCACAACAAAACAGACCTTTATTTAACTTGTAAACTGCTAACACCTTTGCAGGGTGCCATTGGGCCAGTTGGAGATCAAGGAGTCAGTGGGCTGGATGGGGAACAGGTAATCGCTGCCGTTTGTGACCCTTGTATGAATATCATAGAGAAGATAGTCTTTGTTGTAATCAAGGACCTAAGGATATGCTGGAACACTCAATTTCTCTTTGTCTGTTATTTCCAGGGTGAACCAGGCTCAGTTGGCAGTGAGGGCCCCTCTGGCAAGAAAGGAGAGCAGGTGGGTATACAGGAGCAATAGGATTTTTGTTGGGTTTCTTATCTGCATTCCTTATATTAAAAACACTTTTAAGGTATGTGAATCCTGCCCAGGTATACTCTAAAATATGCTGAACAACTCTAATCAACATCTAGTGGTCATATGTGGTATTCTTATGATAATGTAATACGTGTTAATGTTACAGTACTGTTCCAAAATATCCATGTTATTAAATTAAAATGGCAGTCTGAAAATTCCTAAATTAAACTCATTTACCTATACTGCTTTACATGAAGTAGGAGAGCAGATAATGTACAGTCCACTGTCTTAAAACTTTGTCTAACTCATACCCTACCACTACATTATACTGATAGGAAGCATGGGAAGCAAGATCAGAGCAGGGAAACCTACTATTGCATATGGGGACATGTTCTTGGTTGGTTTAGAACTTCAGAAATACAAAGAAGAGTAAATAAACATTTTGATGCTGTCCAGGCAGAAGACTGGAAGGACTGATTGCAGTTAACTTTTGCTGTTGATTTTCTTTTTCAGGGAGATGTTGGTATTCCTGGAAATCCTGGTCCCCTTGGGCCTGTTGGTGACCCTGGAGAATTAGGATTAAAAGGACTGCCAGGTCCTCCAGGAGAGCCAGGGAAGGAGGTATATTTTGCTCATAGGATTGCAAGCATGGAGGAAATGTTATCTGAGTGCTTTTTCTGACATAATATTTTCTTGTGTTTAGGGGGACACTGGGGACATTGGAGATATTGGGGACCCTGGACTTCTAGGAGAAAAGGTTTGACCAAAAGTTGTGTCTGTAAGAAGTGGGTTAAAA